ATATATATATATTTCACTACAAAATGGTTCTTTATTTATATTTACTTTTTTATTTTGTTTTGTCAGATGGGTTTTCCATTGCTGTTAGAGAAATTGTATTTGGAGAAGTCTTTAAAGGACCTTCTCATACTTGATGTCAGTTCAAATATTGTAGGTACTTGAATTCAGCAAAATAACCCAATATAATCCAATAGTCCATAATAGTAGTGAGTTATCAGCACAACTGGAAATTGTCAGAAGTTGTTGACTTGAACCTTTTATAGCTCAGCATATTAATGTGGCATTAGTTTTTATACCTTGTGGTTATACTTTTCTGCTGGATGGTTAAGACCAAGTTAAAGCAAGACCGATATGACTAAAAATGTAACTTTTATATCTTACAAGGTCAGTCAAATCCAGGATTTACCCTGAAACCATGTACAGCACTTGCAGATCTTTTTTGTCAGTGTCAGCCATCTGGATGAGTCACGGCCTTTGCTTGATCAATTTGCTCTCTGCAAAAGCCTGAGAGAATGGTTTCTCTCTAGGTGACTCTTCTTTGGCACACTATTCATTGTAGATCACTTCCCTCTGTGGCACCATAATCTCCTTGATCAGAAAATTTGGGACACCACTGAGTTGCATGATGTCACAGCACAGGTTGTCTTATGTCCTAAATCCTCACTGACCTTGAAGGGCTAGGGCCAAAATATTGGCTATCCTTGTAGTTCCTCTTTTTCTCTAATTTTTGGTCTGCAAACTTTAGTTGTTAAACCTCCAGAAGAGAAGCTTAATGATATTATTACCCTATAACATAGGCAGTTGAGCTTAACATCAGTATCTGTCTGAATATCAAACACCTTAGATATAACATGGAAGTACTATTTTCCAACAACCATGGATATTCTGAACTTTAAATCCATATAGAATGTAAAAAAAGTATACATTTTTACACAGAAATTTAGAAATCATATCACTGGATTTTTGATTTGGTTTTATTTTACTTTATGCATAGCTTTATGGAATGTGTTCAATCTTTCTTCTTTTGAGCATATTGAATTCTCAAACAGAACATGCTTCTGAATTCCAGTTCAATAATTTAAACTTCTCTGTTTGCTTTATGTTGGTTTTGACTGGCTTTTCTTTTTACAATATGTTATATTTTGAAGCTTCTTTGCATGTCTAGTACTTTTTTTTAAATGAATACTATACATTATGAGTTTCACTCTAGTGGTTGCATGACATAGTTCTATTTCTATAAATATTTTTTGAGCTTTGTTCTGTGGTGAAATTCTATTACTTGGAAATAGTTTATTCTGAGGTATTGCCTTTGAGGTTTGTTATTGAGGATCAGAACAGCAATAAGTCTAGAGCTAGTTATTCTCCTTTATGGAGGCAAGACTTACCTGAATATCAAGTGTAATTCTCCACTTTTTAGAAAATTTTTCAGTCTGTCTTTTGGGTAATTGTATGTAAGATTTCTTGTCCTCCACAAGTGCTTAGTACACTTCACTCTACTCCTTTTAGGTAGCACTTTTTCTGGACATTGTCAGTGTCCTAGCACATACACACGTGCAGGCTGCTCTCGCCCTCCTGAGTACCATGGCGAGCTTCTGCACTCACAGGGGCAGAGTCCTGCTCTGAAGTCTCTCTCTTTTCTGTAGTCTTCTATTGTGAAAACTCTGGTCACTTTCTTACTGAGTCTATAAGGCTTCTTCCACCATGGCCAGGAAACTTCCTCAGTGTTGTAAACTGGGACTATCCCAAGAACTGTTTGATATGTTTTCTGTATCTTAGAAACTGCTCACTGTTGTATGATGTCCAGTATGCTGAACACATTTGTATTTGATGTGATTTTTCAATAGTTTGGTTTTAGTGAGAGAATCAATACAACCCTAGTTATTTTATTTTGTTAGAAGTAGAAGTTTCAACCTTAGTTTTTCTTAACTGTTACTTTATGAAAAAGAAATATTATATATTTAATATCTGAATTAGAAAGGATAATTTAACAAACACCAGCAAATCACTTAAGCAATCTAAACAATATGCTGCCAGTAACTTCTTTCTGCATATATCTATATCTATATCTATATCGATATATATATCTCCCCTATTTATCCCATTTCTTCATCCCATCATTGTAAGTTTATTAATATCTTGATGTTTAATAGCAGCTTTAGTAAATTCATGTACAGTTAATGAAGGATATTTTTATTTATCTGAGTTGTATAAAATAGTTTTCTTGTTTGGTTTCTTAGGTTTTAATCACATGTGTAGTTGTAAATAATTTATACACTTTAGTCATTTCCTTTTGAAATTTAATTTCTGAAGTTTAGTAGTCATTCATCTAATAGTTTATATTTATAATATCTTAGGGGTTTTTTGTTCACCTCCATTGATGTTTTGTGAACATCCCTGTCTAGTGCCACTCCGTGCTTTTTTTGTGAAGAACT